CAGGTGAGTTGGACTTTGTTCAGTGGTAGTCCATAACGTTTTATTTTTTCCATGATGTTTTTATTGGCTAATTTTGAGAACCAGCTCACCAGGCCTCTCTTCTTAGTGTGTCTTCGTCTGGAAGCTCTGCTGAAGCCTATCCATCATAGGTAACCCTGCTGGCATTTGAAATACCAGCGGTGGAGCTTTCAGAATCATAATAACACTGAAGCCACTACAAACTGATCATGGGTGAGGGTCATTTGCTTTACTCACTGATAAATCCCAGTCCTTAGAATAGGACCTGGCATGTAATAGGTGCTTAATGAATCAATGCTGTTGAATGAATAAAATCTGAAGACACAGCATGTGCTTTGCAGATATTTCCTCATTAAGAACTGGATCTTAGGTAAGTGATGTAATTATAACCACTTACTGCTGTTTTGTGTGCCATCGAGTTAATTTTCGACTCACAATGACCCCATTTGACAGAGCAGAACTACCCCATAAGGCTTTCTACGCTGTAATCTTTTTTTTCTCAACTTTTTACTTAGTGAAGGTTTACAGAGAAGATCATCAGGTTTACAGTCAACAAGTTGTACACTTATTTCATTTTAATGGTTGCAGTTCCCTCCACACAACAACAGTTATCCCTCCCTGGGCTTCCTCTGCCCAGTCCACCCACCTTCCCATCCCTTCTCTACTTTGTCTTTAGGTAAATGTTGCATTTTGATTTTGAATGATTAACTGTTCCATCATTCATAGTGAGCATACTATGCAAATGTTGTTGCCCCCCCCCTTCCTCCCCCCTCCCCCCGTATACCTGTCTACTGCTTGGATGAACGTTGAGACACAAGAGTGAGTTTCTTTCCAGATCTGGAAGATGGTGGAGGGTTATAGTCTCAGGTTCCTCCAGTTTCTTTCTGACCAGTAATCCCAGTCTTCTTTCTTTATAAGCGTAGTGGTTACGAATTGGGCTGCAAACTGCAAGGTCAGCAGTTCCAAACTACCAGCTGTTCCATGGTAGACAGATGAGGCTTTCTGCTCCCATAAAGATGTAAAGCCTCAGAAACCCTGTCCAGGGTCACTATGAGTCAGAACAGACTCCATGGCACATAACACCACCACCACCACCACCACCACCACCACCACCACCACCACCACCACCACCACCACCACCATATATATAATAATTTTGAGTCATGGTCTACATATTCTACCTTCAAATGTTATCCCTTTCAGAGCAGTTAGGAGTAGTAGCCAGGCACCATCAAGCTCTTCTTGTCTCAGTCGTGGAGACTGATGTTCACATGCTCCCTTATTCCACTGGAATACTTGATTCTAAGCCTCTTTAATTGTCATAACTGCTCTGTCTTCTGTACATGGAGAGACCAATAGTTGCACCTTAGACGGCCTCTCATGAGCTTTTAAGATCCCAGATGCTACTAGGGTGTAGAACATTGTCTTTGTGGACTGTTACTCTAGGCTGTAATTTTTATAGAAGCAGATCACCAGGTCTTTCTCCTGAAGAGCTGGCTGCTAAGTGAGTTCAAACTTTCCACCTCATAACCACTTAACTACTGTGCCATGACTCCCCACCACTTCTCAGGTTCCCAGATCCTTCCCAATGGGACCCCTGAGCTTTTCCTAGCACATAGCAGGCTGTGCCTTCACCAGCTAAGTCTCTCAGCAGTCTTAGCTTGTTTGTACCTCAGGGCCTTTGCTCTTGCTGTTTGACCTGTTCTTGCTCCAGACAGTCACATGGCCAGCTCTTCCGTAACCTTCAGATCCCAGTTCAAATGCCCCTTATTCTTACAGTCCTTCCTTGCCTACCCACCCCAGTTATCTAACACATCACCAACAGCTCTATTCTGTTGTATGCACCAAATTAGCACCATCTGAAACAATCTTGATCATTAATTTTCTGCTGGAGCCGGTTTATCAGGAGTTTTGATACAGCAGGCTTCAAACCTGAACATTTCATGCTAATTGCTGTGTTCTGTCACACTCTGCCAATTCCCAGTCCTGGTGGGCCTCCATGACAGGTCCTTGAGTTACTAAAACTCCAAATCTTGGTTTAGATCTCCTTTCCAGAGGCTGGGGAGGGGAGCAAGCCCTTCCTCTTCCTTCTCTTGGAATGGGGGTGGGGGTGGGGGTGGTGGCTAGTGAGAATGAAGCACTCCATTTTCCTAACAGGCTCCATCCCATGTGGTGTGCTCTTTGCTGGTAGGTGCTAGGGAGCTACATCAGACACCACCCTTTCCCAAGTGGGAGGAGGCACTAGATTTGTTCAGTGTCTGGGCAGACCACGATTCCCTCCATGTCGAGTCTCATGAGATGAGTGAGCCCTCTGAGGGTAACATGGAGCCGAGGTGGGAACACCTGTGAGCCACCTGTACAACATGCTTCAATGCTGCCCTTGCTCCTCCCCAGGCCTCTCCCCTCTGAAGCCCCCAGGTTCTGACGGAGCACAGCAGACCCCATTCTAGGGGAGCAGGTTGAGCTCCCCCAAGGACGCCCCCGGAGGGGGGGGGGCGGATGTGGGCCACTTCCTCAGTCTCAGGAGGATTGTCTTGGTTGGGGGTCGGGAGGGATGGAGCCAGAGAAAGAGGGTCATCCGTTCCCAACACTGCCCTCCCCCACTCCTCTCTTTCCCATTCATTTTCTCCATAAACAAGGAAAGGGGCACTGAAGGGTCTGGAATGGTCAGTGGCAGCCTGCCAATTCTGCCACCTCCTGTCTTGTTGTTAAGTACCATCGATCTGGTTCCTAGACTCTGTCTAGGGTTTCCAAGGAGTGACTGGCGGGTTTGAACTGCCAACCCTGTGGTTCAAACCGACCTCCTGTTTTATTGTTAATTGCTGTGAGCTCGGTTCTGACCTATAGCAACCTGTGCGGGGTTTCTGAGGAGTGGTTGGTGAGATTGTCTCACAATCTCGCACATTAACCCACAGCACCACACCAGGACTCCCCCTCCTGTTTGGCCCCAGGGAAAAGGAGCCCTGTTGGTACAGCGGCTAAGTGCTTAGCTGCTAATTGAGAGTGAGCAGTTCTAGCTCACCAGTCAGTCCAAGAAAGAAAGATGTGGCAGTCTGTTTCTGAAAACATTGTTGTTGTTGTTGGTATGTGCCGTGGAGTCAGTTCCGACTCATAGCGACCCTGTACAGGATTTCTGAGGCTGTAAATCTTTATGGGAGCAGAAAGCCTCATCGTTCTCCTGCAGAACAGCTGGTAGTTTCGAACTGCTGACCTTAAAGTTCGCAGCCCGATTCATAACCACCACGCTGCAGCCTTAAAAACCCTATGGGGCACTTTGACTCTGTCCTTTGGGGTCCCTAAGACTCGGATTCAACTCCACAGCAATGAGTTTGATTTGGTTTGTTAGGCTCCATCTCTTTAGCAAGTGGGTTACTTGGCATCTCATTGTTAAAAACCATGAGCTCTCCTTACCAATTCTGGGGCAACCAGAAACATTCCCTGCATGCTTGCTTGGCTGTCTGCTTCTGGTCTTCCCTTTGGAACATGTGACAGACCAGCAGCTTAGCATGGCTGACTGATAAGAGCCCAGTGCTTAGGACTGAGTGGACCTGTGGTCAGAGCTATCTGAAAGGGGGATGCCGAAAGATGGCCAGGGGCTACAGTGAGGTCTGCCTGAGAAGTAGCAGGAAGTGGAATGGGGGTGAGGTCCGGGACGATGTGGTGATGCACGCGATTGCTGTCTCACTTCTTATGGGACTTTGAGAGGCAGCCTTGTCAAAGTCCCACGCATATGACCCCTGTTCCTGGTTCGAGACAGAACAAGGTGGTGGTAGTGAGCTGAGCTCCCCACTCCCCTGCTCATGCTGGCTATGCTCCCCGTTTCAAAACTTGGCAATGTCACTTCATCCTCTGCCTCTGTTTCCTCATTGTAGAAGTCGGGCTGCAGACTCTATGTCTGGGGGATTAAGGGAACTCAGACCTAAAATGTGCTTAGCATAGCAGACTCTGTGGGTCAGATACAGAGGATCTTGAGGACTTGCCTGTTATCATTACCAAGGCTACAGACCCAGGCGTGCTCTTTCCACCACACGGCCCACCCTCCAAGCCGGAGGCCTGGAGGGCAGGGACAGCCTCCGAGCCCTCCGAGCCGGGGAGAGATGACAGTAGAGCCGGCCTGAGCTACTTGGAGGAAGGAACCTCTGCTGGCCTATAATTAGGGAGAGCTGAGAGGAGAGTGGTGTTTTAGGAAGATTAATCTGGCGACTGAGGACAGGATGGAACTGAGTCAAGCTCATCACAGTGACTACTCCTGTCTGGCTCACCCAGAGGCTGGTCATTAAAGAGAGTTCTCAGTTTCCAGTGCACCCCAGGTTCCCGGCAGCTGGGCTAGACTGGCCCCTCCTGAAACGAGGCGCTGAGGAGCCGGCAGGGGGCGCTGTGCTGCAGCGACCGGGGCCACTGCGGCAGATCTCTGGCTCCTGGGCAGCCAGTTGAACGGAAGCTGTCGGTTAGCAACTGGGAAAGGAGAGGGACATGGGCCCCATCTCAGCTATGTGGTGAGTTCCAAGCCCAGCATTTCAACTGTGGCCACATGTAAGCAAAGGTTGCTCACCGCAGGCACCCCCTGTGGGCTGTACTTTTGAAGAAGAATCCCCATCCCACCCAGTCCATTCAGAGTGGGCAGGACCACCCACTCTCACAGGGTGACAGACTGTAGCCCCAGTTTGGGGGTACTCCCGCTGAGGACCCCTCTACCACAGAATGTCCCAGTCTGGCTCTAAGAGCTGTTCTGGAACCGAATGTGCCACCTACTAACACCAAAGTGCACAATGCAACTTGGACTGCCCCGGCCCAGAATGGAAGGAACCGCGGAGGCTGCTACATTTCATCTAATTTTATTTAAAGCTGTCAGGATAGACTGGAAATGTAGAGGAAATTCCATCTTCTCTCCTCTTCCAAGGAGACTGCTCCCCTGCCAACTTCACAGTGGCCCCCGGTGGTTCTGTAGTCCGGTCCTAAGGGATCAACCAGCTGCCCGTCCCTCACACCAAAGAGTGGAAGGCCTCTACTTTCTCCCGGTACAGGTGGAGGAACTGCTTGGCCAAACAGTGGAAAGGAGCTTCATAGTTTTCCATTTCCTTCTGTCGAGAGAAATTTAAGACGTGGGTTGGCTTATTTTTATCATCAAAGCCAGCTAGCTCCCACCTCAAACTTCCCAGGTGCTACACACAATTTGCCTGGTTTCATCTTAACACCATTTGGGGTAGTGACTACCATCATGCCAATTTTATAAGAAAGAAGCTAATGAATGGGGTGAACGATTAAAGTTTCTTGCTGAAAGTCACACACCTTGTAATTGGTGGGACCTGGACTTGAACCACTCTTGCTGATTAAAGTACACGTGGGGGGCAAGATGTGCAGATGAGACTTTCTGGCTTAGTGTTAATTGAAGCTACAACAACATATCCAATGGCAAGGATTCCCCACATTGCGGAGGGAAGGCCAGACCCGAATGAATCCCTGGAGCCCTTGGGAGCATAAAGGGTGGTGGGTGAAGAGACCGGAGGACTTGGAGAAAGTGGTTTGTGCTGGTACATGTCAGGGCTTCTCTGCAGCAAGGGTGCTTCTCCCAGAGGCACCTGTGACTGGGAAGGGTCTGGACACCCATATTTCTGTCCCACTGAAAGGCTGAAGTCGTTGCCAGGGCCCCGTTGCTAGCCAAGTGGGGGTGCTGGCCTAGAGCTCCCTTAGAGGGAGCTAGCCATCAGGAGTGCTGTGGTCCCCACAGGAGGGACTGTTAGGAAGCCAGGATGCAGGAGGAGGGGTGAACTGAGGCCTGAGGAGGGACCTCCTGTGTCTAGACACCTGCAGGTGGGAGAGATCCACTGATAGGACATATCTGAGGATACCCCACCAGTCCAGAGAGGCCAAAGTAGCTCCTGGCAAAAATGCTGCAACTCTCATCTGCATCCCTCTCCCCCCCCACCCCACCCCCAGGCTACAAGCTGGGAGAAGAGGGGCCATAGAAAACACATAGAAGCCAGCCTGACCTTGTGGACTCAAGAGGAAAGCAGTTCTGACTTCAAATTAGGCTTGGAAGTTTGACCATTACCCAGGACGGGGCATAGAGTAACCTGAATAATGAATAATTTTATGACAAAAGGTACCCAAAGAGTGTTGGATTCTCGGGGAGAGGTCAGAAGTGATGCACTTTCTCTGGGTTTCTCTGTGGGGTGGGAGAGGAGCCCCACGGGTTGGGTGAGGACAGGCTCAGGGGATGGGAACCGCTTTCAATCTAACACTATTGTTCGCCTGGTGGGTGCGTGTGTATGTGTGCGGGTGTGTACGAAATTCTGTTTTAAGAAATCAGTTGGCAGAAGAATGCACTACTTTCAAGGCAGCAGCTCAAGCTTTGAATGTAAAAGAAGCTGTTTTGAAATGAGCTGTGGCAGCTGCAAAAAGGCAGCGTTGACAAGAGACAGAGAAACATCCCCAGCAAAAGAAAGCGCAGGCCCAACGGAAGAATGCAACAGTAGCCGCTAAGTTTGGTGCGTTCGGTTTGCAGGTGGGTAACCTGGGGACCGAGTCCCTGGGTGTACAAAGGGATATAAACTCGATGGAGTCCTGGTGTGGCACTGTAGGATAAGCCCTGGGATACTAACCACAAGGCTGGCAGTTCAAACCCACCAACCATTCTATGGATACCCATACAGGGTTGTTAACTGACTCGATGGCATTTAGCAATAACAAGCTAAAGGCTGGTGGTTTGAACCCACCTAGCATCATCTCAGAAGACTGGCCTGGTGATTGGCTCCCAAAAGGTCCCAGCCTTGAAAACCTGAAGGAGTAGTTTTACTCTGCATGCACGAGGTAGCCAGGAGCTGGAATGGATTTAATGGCAGCCACCAATAACAGAAACAGCCTGGGACCCAGGGAGTTAAGTGGCGGTGCCCAGCCTAGAATCCAGATTCCCCCATTCGAGAAGAGCCACCTTTCCACTCTGCCAGCTAGGAGGGTGTGGTAGTGGTGGTGGTTAAGTGCCGTGGAGTCGGTTCCGACTCATAGCGACCCTGTACAGGGTTTCCGAGGCTATAAATCTTTACGGGAGTAGAAAGCCTCATCTTTCTGCCGCGGAACAGCTGGTAGTTTCGAACTGCTGACCCTGAGGTTAGCAGCCCGACTCGTAACCACTATGCCAGGAGGGCAGATTTGTGTGTGAAAAGAAACCTATTCCTGGATAGCAAACTACCAGAACTTTCTAGCAAGGGAAATCACTGTCGAGTTGGTTCCAACTCATAGCAACCCTGTATAGAGCTTCTGAGGAGTGGCTGGTGGATTTGAACTGACAACCTTGTGGCTCAAATTGACCTTGCAGTCCAGTGCATTATCCTACAGTGCCACAACAGGACTCCCAAAACAGGTGTGGCGATGCTAAACATGGTACTGAGGAGTGAGGGGGTCGGCTTGTATCTGTGTACACTCATAACTGCAGAGGGCTTGAGACTGTCGCTCTCTAGCCAGAACTAAGGCGTGACACTGTCCTACCTGCCAGACACCTGGGTTTGCTCTCAGCATCATATCCTATGCAACATCACACAATGTCCAAAAGTAAAATACCACTTCCACTGAAAGGAAAGTTAAGTGTTGAATGAAAGAGAATGAGGCCTACGTGGCATGCACACAAAGATAGCTGAATTCAAAAGCTCTTGAGTCAACACTCATGGAAGCAGCAGTCAAAAAATCAAATGATGTATTTCACTAGGCAAATCTGCTGCACAAGACCTCGTTAAAGTATTCAAGAGCAAAGATGTCAGTTTGAGGACTGAGGCCCAAGCCCTGGTATTTTCAATAGCCTCATATACATGTGAAAGTTGGCCATGTTATAAGGTAGGAAGACCGTAGAAGAATTGATGCATTCGAGTTAAGGTGTTGGAGGAAAATATTGAAAGCACCATGGGCTGCCAGAAAAACAACAGATTTGTGTTGGAATAAACAGCTAGAATGCTCCTTAAAAGCCAGGATAGAGAGACTTCATCTCTCATACTTAGAACATATTATCAGGAGGGCCTAGTCCCTAGAGAATGACATCATGCTTGGTAATGTAGAGGGTCAGCAAAAAAGATGTAACCCCTAATGAGATGGACTGGCACAGTGGCAGCAGCAGTGGGCGATTGTGAGGATGGCTCAGGACCAAGCAGTGTTTTGTTCTGTTGTGCACCTAGCTGCTGTTGATAGCTGCATATAACACCACCACCACCAAAGCTCTTGAAAACAAGATCTTGGGAGAACACAACATAAAATACGCATGTCACTGCAGGCAAGCCTCAGTGTACCACATAGAGTTCTGGGAATAGCACGTGCAAATGGAACCATTTTCTAGATGCATTCAGAGGGCTTGCCAATCACAGGAACTCTTTTCTTAAAGGACTAATCATATGCTCATCTGCATATTTTGGAAACCTCTAGAGTGGGTTTACATAGAGTGAGGTATCGCGAGAACATGAGCAGATAAACCAATGCCTGGGCTGGCCTAGAATTCTGTCCCCGAGAGTCTCAAAGTAGCTCTGTGGGAGGTCAGAGCAACCTTCTAAAAGGCCCAGGATTTGAAGCTGTGCAGGCCGCAGTGACAGCCTCAGTTCTAACCCCTCATTAGCTGTGCAACCAGGGCAGGCTTTCAGAGCCTGCTGGTCACCTGAAAATCAAGCTGCCTTGTATGGCTGTTAGGAAGATGAAATCAATAATGCGTGCAAAACACTGGCAGGCAGAAGGCACCCCACAAGCCTTACTCGCTCCCCGCTGCCCCCATGAGGGGAGGTGGTGAGATCCATGTGGCTCTTTCTTAAACTTGTTTGTATGTATCATTATATCATTTGGTTTCTTATCGTGATGACCAATACTTTGAGTCACTTTACCTGGCTTTTTTTTTTTTGCCTGAAATGTCCACATAGCAAGGGGTTCGAAAGTCAAGAAACCATGCCGGTACCTCCTCGGGTCAGCAAGATGACTGCACTGCGTTGAGTAAGAGGAGAAGATGGGTTTGGCACCGTGCCCTGGCTGTGTCTCAAGCAACATTTGGTTATATTTCCTTTTTAATTACAGCTTTCTTAACTGAGCTGCCAGTGGTACTTGTGCTAGCAGCAACTCAGGGGGGACTAGTTAACTTGCACAGTTAATACCAACCATTTAACAGCAGACTCCTTGAGTATAATTTATACCTACCGGTTTCAGGAGTGTAGTAACACCTCACCAGGGCTTAAAGCCAGGCCGGTGCATGGCGGTGACTGATGGCTTGGGCTGGGTTTTCATTTCTGTATTCCATCAAGCAGGCCGGGAAATATGCGGTACTGGGGGAGAGGGGATGATTCCTCCAAGGTCAAAGGAGGAAGAGGAAATGCTAAAATACTGTTTGTTCTGGTAGGAATGCTCACTGCTTTGCTCAAAGGCATGCCTTATGGAAGACAAGGAACCTTCTATGTGGTAGAAGCTTGTTAATTTGAACTTTATGAATTTAGCATTTGTGATCATTTGGCCAGAGGCAAAAGTAGCATTTATCTTTGTACTATCTACGAATATAAGGGTTTTATAAGTAATAATTGTACAAACAAGATTACTTGCAGGGGATGGGGCAGTTATACTGAAAAGCAAGGTAACATTTATTGTTTTCTGTGCCCAGGCTTTTTATATTCATCAGCCGACATGTTTTCCTAGTCACCATCATATTTGGTTCATGTAGCTATTGTTCAATGAGGGCTTATGATGTTAGGATCCCCATTTCACAGATGGGTGGCGCGAGGCACCAATTGGGAGGTCACAAAGCTAGTCCTGTCACTTATTGCTGGGGTCACACACCTGCCCCTAATCACTATGTTCTCCTCAAGGGACCCACTAAAGATGGTCACAGCCATGTGCGTGTGGTGGTGTTACTTACCATCTAGCCAGTTTCGACTCATGCTGGGTTTTCATTGCTGATTTTTTAGAAGCAGGCCACCATGCCTGTCTACAGAGGCACCTCAAACTGTTCAATTTTCGGCTACTAGTTGAATGCTTAACGGTACACGCCACCTTGGAATGCCTTCCCACTCATATAAGCCACTGAACAGTAGCATCTGTCCAGTTTTGCAGATGTCACTATAGCTGAAGTAAAGCTACGTCAAAAGACCTCCACACAGGCACCTGGTGGGTGGAGCCTAGGCCCCAAGCCCGCCCCCTGGCTGCAAGGAAGCGGGACTCCCAGACTCCCTGGCAACATAAGGGATACCAACATTAATGGCGACCCAAAACCCCAATAGATGTATCTTGAGGTGGTGCAGACAGTGAAGCGCTTGGCTGCTGGCTGACAGGTTGGCAGAGGCACCTTGGAAGAAAGATCTGGTGGCCATGTTCCAAAAAATCAGCTAATACAAAGCCACATGCGGTAGCCATGAGTGGGAACCCATTTGACAGCGACTATTTCCATTTGTTTGGTTTTTTGAAGAGGTTGGTAACACATCCCTCGAAAGTCTGCACGTGCTGAGGAGGCCAGCTGACTCTACTGGAGGCCATTCAGGGCCAGTAGCAAGCTGAGGACAAGGAGTCCTGCTGGGGAGCAGATCACATGATCTTAGTCTTGGCCCCGCCCTTCACCAGCCACTTGACCACCTCAACACTGACGTGGGGATGGGGTGCCAACTCTTGGTTTCTGGGGTTGACTATGCGGGTCCAATGCATCCTCACCTCTGGGTCAAGGGCTACTGGAATGGAACCCAATACACTTGGACTTCTTACTGAGGTACAGCTTGCCCCAAGGCTGGCCGAACGGTTTGTTTAAAGTAATGCGTGAGTGACTCAGACAATGTTAGGTAAATGTCTCAGGTTGAGTTTGCATACACATTTGGTGGATACCCATTCGGTGGGGTTACCTGACAAGCCGTGTCCGGCCGGGGCCCATTACAGACTGCGGAGCCAGCTGGCTTACTTACCACGGATGTGTCAAAGTATTCCAGGCCTTGGCCCAGCGCCCATGCCCGGGCCTGCGCTGCATCCACCGCTCGTCTGCCAGCCAGGTCGGTTTTATTCCCCACTAAAACACCTACTCAAAGAAAACAACCAAGAGCATTGTGTTTAATGGCGGCCGTCTGGGAAAACAGCTGGAGAGATCAAAGAGCAGGCGCACGCCTTGTCTTTTGGGGTGGGGGGAGCAAGGAGCATCACATGAAGCAGGCTGTCGGTGGTGAGCAGGACAGGGAGGCCTGGGGACTCCTGTGTTGCCCTCCCAGGGCCACAGAGAAGACAGAAGGGCTTTATGTGTACATCTGTCTGTCCGTCTGATCCCCTTTAGGCTGCAAGCTCAGAGAGGGCCACAGCCCTGCTTCCCGTGAGCATTTGCAGTATAATTCCTAACACATGGAGCAAACTTTAAAAATGGCCATTAGAGCTAATCTGAGGCCTGGGTGGAGAGTCAGGGACTCAGAGGTAATTTGCTTTGGTTCCCAGCTGCATCAGCTGTAGCTAATTTTCCTGCCTGTCTCTGGAGATCGCTTTTCCTGGTCTGTAATGAGAAGAATTTGTTGATCTCACACAGGGATCAAAAATAAATGGATTGAAAGCATTCAGAAATGACAACAGGACTTGAATATTTACTTGTACCTCCACACACATGAGAGAATGGGGGATTCTTCCCTAGAGTCCGTTTTCTGGGAATAAACAACTCAGATGCCAGTAACTTCACTCTCATCATCGAGACTCCCCTCAATCCCATAAGGTGGGGTGGCATTGTTCTCATGTAGAGACTAGGAGACAGAAGGCAACTCACTGCTAATATACTATGGCAGGGGACAAGCCAGGCTTTACACGCAACGCCTGGAGCACCATGTTTTGTGCCCACAGTGACCTCTGCAGTGACCTCTGTTTGGGAGTTCAGGGGTGCCATAGGGAAGCCCCGATGTTCATTTGCAGGTCCTACCTGGGAGGAAGCTGCCTGGGGCCTGTGACCGTGCCTTCTCCAGCCACTTGCTGCAGTTACTGAAGGATTGCTCATCTGTCACATCATAGACGAGACACAAGACGTTGGGACTCTCCCACTGCGGAGAGGGACAGGGTAAACGCAGGTTAGTGACAGTGACTGCAAAGTAGAAAGACAATTTGGCTTTCTGGAGCAAGGGGAGGGGCCTTGGTGGTGCTGTGGGTTAAGCTGCAAATTGCAAGGTCCGCGGTTCAAGCCTGTCAGTCGTTCTGTGGGAGTAACATCAAAATGCTCCTGAAAAGATTTAGTCTCAGAAACTCAATGGAGCAGTTCTACTCGGCCCTATAGAAACTGACTCCATGGCAGTGGATTTACTGGTTTGGAGTAAGGGGGATGTGGGCAGAGGACAATGAAAATCTGTTGTGTGAGGGTCCTCAACTCACATCAGAATGATCGGCCCAGGCCTGAGCTCTGACTCCGTCTGTTAAGTGCTGTCGAGTTGGTTGACTCATAGCGACCCTCTGTAGGGTTTCCAACGCTGTAAATCTTTTTGCAGGTGCAAACTTCATTTCGTGTCTGCTTAGTTCTCTTGCAACTACACCTGTCAGATACCTTAAGTAACAAAGAATTTCCCCTATAAATATCAAACCCTCAGACAGGCTTAAAAACTTAGCAAAGGAAAAGTTTTCTTTTCTGTAAACTACAGACAGAAGAATGTTCCAAAGGCAGGGTCTTGACCTAAGACCCTGATCAGAAATCCCCTCAGCAGCCCTCAGGAAGTGTTTCATGATACCATATGATCACCCTGCCAAACCTCCATCAGAGTCATGAATTTAAACTAACCAATCCAAATAGCCCACATCTGTATTTCCAACCAATCAGGGTAAGCCACCAATCCTGCAACTTCCAATCAGAATATTGCACCTTTAGTTCTTGACTTCACCTCATAAATACGTCTGTTGCTTCACCATTCTGGAGGGTTTGCTTTTCCTTTGTGACATCAGATGTGCCCCTTGTTTGAATTGTTTTAGAACCTTCCATAAATCTCTTTGCTTTTGTTTTAGAGAGTACGCGTTCCTACTCATTGAGACTGTACCAGGGACTGTGTGAGTCAGTAACTGGACTGCAACTGCCAAGCAAAGTAGTTCACCTGGAGGAGTAGGGAAGCTGTGTTCAGTGGTGGGAGGCTGGGTGCTGCAAGATCAGCATGCTGGGCACTGTTTTTGCATTCTTGTGAAACCTCAAAACTCTGTGGCAGAGAACCCCAACTCTGTAGCAGAAGAAATAGCACAGAGAGGGTAACTGCCTTGTGCGCTTTAAATAAAACAAATTCCAAGAAACCAACCAGATGGGGATGGCCGTGGGTTCTTCTTCCCCTGCCCTTGGTTTCATTAAGTCACTCTTGCATTCATTTTTGTTGAGGGTCTATGTCTTTTCTTAATTTGTCGGTCTGAAGGACGATTCTTTCTTTCCTTCCTCCATTGCTGGGAGCTTCATTGCTTGCCTCTTCCTAATCATTGTTGTCGCTGTATGCCATTGAGTTAGTTCAGACTTGCAGCAAGCCTGTATAGGGTTTCTGAGAGTGGCTGATGGTTTTGACCTGCTGACCATAGGGTTAACAGTCCAGTGCTTATCTTACAATGTCACACCAGGGCTCGATTCTCCAATGGCAAAGAATGTTTGGAGGTTCTTCAGCAGGCTGGCCAGGGCCCACTCTCCCAGGTATCCCAGGGCTATGCTCTCAGGGCCCCTGCTTGTCCCTGGGCAGGCTCTGGCCACTAGCCAGCGTCTGGGACTTCTCCTGACCATGCGCTGGTGTCTGGGCAGCCCTGTCCTGCAGTTATACCTGGTTTATTTCTGAGGCATCAGTAATCTTCCAGGTTACTGCCAAAGGAAAGGTTGCCAGTTTAAACCCACGCAGTTGTTCCATGGAAGAAAGACCTGGTGAACTGCTCCTGTGAAGATTACGACGAAGAAATCCTCTGTAGTATCTGGGGTCACCATGAGTTAAAATCAACTTGACAACACTGGGTTTTGGTTTTACGGTTATTATTACTGTTTTAATAACGTCCAGGGGATGTGGGAGGGTCAGAGAAAAAGAGGAAAACCCCCAGCAAGACGGATTGGCAAAGTGGCAGCATCGATGGGCTCAAGCGTGGTAACAATAGTGAGGTTGGCCCAGGATTGGGCAGTATTTCGTTCTGCTGTGCATAAAGTCACTATGAGTTGGCACCGACTTGATGGCACCTAACAACAACCGGGGTGTGGGAGAGAATCCTTTTTCATTCAATCAGTTGTGATTGGAAGATTGGCTCTGGAGGGCTTGTTCTCCACCCTCTGAAGTTAGGTTGGCTCCCAGGGGCATCCAGGATTCAACCCCGTTACCTTATACTTTCCCATCACAGATGGATCTTCCGACTCTTGTCCATCTCACAAAGGAGACATCTTGGTGTGTTTTAAAGCCAAGACGCCTCCCTTCCCTCTGCCTCAGAGACAGGACCTGCCTGGGACAGAGCTGCAAGTCTGGAGGTAGCATGGGCCCTTACTGCGCCAGTGCATCCTCCCGCCAGGCTATGCACACAGTAGGCAGCTTGTAAGCATCATGATGAGTCTACCCAGGAAAGCCAACCCTGTGTGGAATGATCTCACTAGAGTGGTTCCTCTCATAAGACAGCAACCAAAAAGAGCACAAAAGAATTCCTGGTTGGAGAGGCAGGGGAGGACTCTGGAGGGCCAGACAGATTTACTGAAGTCTTCACTTGGTAAGGACATCATGAAAGAGAGACAGCGGGGTGGGAGCAGGAAGAACAAGGTACCATGCGCATCCTGGGCAGCACATGGGGCATTTCCCAGAGTGAGCCCCAATAGGACATCCCCCTGGAACCCTGGTACCCCTGACCCACGGTGTGAGCAGAGAAGCCTCGTTACAGGGCCTCTAGACCCCTCTTAGGAGTCCCTGGGTGGCACAGACGTGCCTCGGAAAAAAGGCTTGGAGATCTAGTTCCAAAATATCAGCCATTTAGACCAGATGAAGTAGAGGTCTACTCTCACACACAAGGTGGAGCTGACTGGACAGTACCAGTTGGGTACTCCCAGAGGTCCCAGGAACTGAGGGAACATCACTGGAGGGGGTACTCAGAAGGAAAGCTCCATCCTGGGGTGTGGGCTGCAAGGCCTGAGTCACACAGCTTCTGCCACCTTTAGCACGTGACCATTCCAGAGCTGGGACCCTCATGAGCATGACCGCTCTTACCAGCCAAGTAGCCACTAGCCCCAAATTTGAAGGAATGCCCCCTACAGAATTCTGCCGTGGTCACCTCTTGGCTGCTACAGTGCAGGAACGAAACGCTTCTGTGGACGTATAAGGGGCACATTTTTTCTGGCAGGAGGGGAAGACGGGGTAGCTAGTAAAAAGACCACATGCTACTTACCAATTTATCCAGCATTTCAGAAAACAGCTCCTTGCCAGCAGAGTCAAAAATGAAGAGCTCCTAGAATCAGAAAAGGTGACCGACACACTCAGAAACAGACAGGGGCAACAGCTGCCCAGCATGACGTACCCATGGCAATGGATTGAACTGACTATCAATACAGATGTCCCACAATGACACAGATAAACCAAAGAGGAATGTTGCCAATGCAATAATTAGGGATCCAGAACTTAAAGAGAAAAAAACAAAACCATCATGTTCCAAGAAGATTTTCTCTGCATGGGAAAACCACGTGATCCGGCTTAGGTCAGTGTAGACACACATTGTAACATTGTAACAAGTCTCTCCTTCTGAAGCAGGGGAAAGGCCACAGGGAAGGAGCGAATTCCGAGAGGCAGCTCAGGGCCACGTAGGCCACTGCATCCCCAGTCTGTGCGCAAGAACCTCAGGCCCAGACTGCCTTCCACCTGGCAGAACAGAATGCTCCACACTGACGAGCCCTCTCCTTTTCAAAAGGTCATTTTGCACTTTGCAAAGCAAATCGATTTTCCGATCTTCAAACCATTCTTTTGAAGGAGGTCATGGAGCAGGCCAGGGACTCCGGCATTATTCCAGATGGCAGAGGGGTAGTTTGACAGAGGGTGAGGATGACCTGCCCTGCTCTGTCCACACCCAGCCAGCCCATCTGGAGGCACCTTCCGAAATCTCCTGCTCCCCCCACCCCTGTGCTTGGGGCACCCCTGCTGGCTTCTGACCTTCAGGTCCTGGCTTTGTCTGATTGGCTCTTTAACCTGCTGGTCACCTGTGCAGTGTCTTAACCTTTCTCACAGCATCAGGGCGCTTCCATTTTCTTGAGCATGTTGTTACATGCCATCAAATGAGTTCTGCCTCATAGAGACCCCAGGCACAACAGAACCAAACACTGCCCGTCCCTGCGCCATCCTCACAATTCTTGCTGTGTTTAAGCCCATTTTTTGCAGCTACTGTGTCATTGAGGGTCTTCCTCTTTCTCACAGACCCTGTATTTTACCAAGCATGGCGACCTTTTCCAGGGACAAGTCTCTCCTGATGATATGTCTAAAGTAAAGGAGACAAAGTCTCACATTTAATAATCCAGTGAAGACTGTCAACCCTCCCTCTAGGAATCTGTGCACATAAACACACACCTTGCAAATCAAGTTCAAGATTTCCTGCATCCCCCTGGAGGGACCCAGTGAAGAATCTTATTGCCAGGTGTGATAGTTAAGGTTTCACGACAACTTGGCTGGACCAAGATTCTCGGTAGTTTAGCGGTTTAGAGGTAGTAAATACTGATGGAGATCAAAGATCACAGCCTTTGGTATAGATTATATCTCACTATAAAGAAAACAAAAGTCCTCACCACTGGACCAATAAACAACATCCCTATCAATGAAGAAAAGAATGAAGTTGTCAAAGACTTCATTTTGCTCAGATCAACCATTAACACTCATGGAAGCAGCAGTCAAGAAATCAAACGATGTATTGCATTAGGCAAATCTGCTGCACAAAACCTCTTCAAAGTGTTGAAGAGCAAAGATGTCAGTTTGAGGACTAAGGTGTGCCTGACCCAAGCCATGGTATTTTCAAGTGTTTTATGAGAGAAAGATGAAGCTTTCTGCTCTGGTAAAGATTTACAGCCTCAGAAACTCTATGCAGGGTCGCTATGAGTCAGAATCAACTCCACAGCACACCACCACCACAAGCATGTGTAAGTTGAACAGTGAATAAGGACGACCATAGAAGAATTGATGCTTTTCAGTTATGGTGTTGGAGGAGAATATTGAAAGTACCATGGACTGCCAAAAGAATACACAGATCTGTGTTGGAAGAAGTGCAGCCAGAGTGCTCCTTAGAGGCCAGGATGGCCAAACTTCGTCTCTCATACTTCACACATATTATCAGGAGGGACTAGTCACTGGAGAAAGGATATCATGTTTGGTAAAGTGGAGGGTCAGATAAAAAGAGGAGGACCTCCAATGAGATGGATTGACACAGTGGCAGCAGCGATGGGCTCAGGTGTAGCAACAATTTCGAGGTTGGCCCAGGACTGGGCAGTGTTTCCTTCTGTTGTGCATAGGGTTACTATGAGTTAGTACCGACTTCATGGCACCTAACAACAACAACATCAATCCTCCTCCAATGCTAGATGAGATCCAGCATGATAGAAACCCCCCCCCCCCCCCCCCCCCACACACAGTGTGATCTGATGGGCACAGCCCTGGTCTGATGTAATTATCCAATGTGTTATAGATCCACACTTCTAATTTGTTAATGAGTCCTGATGCAATCTACAGGATTAGTTTGTACTTTAGGTCAATCCCTTTTGAAATATAAGAGATTAAACAAGCCAGCAGAGCTCAGAGGAACCTGCTACCACTAATTAAGAAGAGTCAGGGACCTTACACTGTGAAGCTCCTAGATCCAGGGGAAGACTGAATTCAAGACCTGTGGCGCTCTCCAAAGAATGTTGGGCCTGCAGATGCTTAAAACAGACTGAACCTTTCTCCAGAGCCAACAAAGAGAGCCTTCCCCTAAGGCCGGCATTCTGAGTTTGGTCTCCTAGCCTCCTCAACTCTGAGAGAACCCAGTTCTGCTTGTTGATGGCATCCACTTGAGGTATTTCTATAACAGGAACACCAGAGACCTAGGACACCGGATAACAAGTCTACTCTGCCTACTCCCCTGAACACTTAGCCCCTCCCTAGAAGGCTCCCTTCCTTCTGTGATGCTGTTTCTAGAGGCTCAGCCTCACCTCAGCAAGTCTTCATGGGGACGGTGACGGGGACCCTGGAGCCTGGCTGGAGGACACCTGGTCCAGCAGGTGATGGGCACCACTTACCACACTGTCGCCCGTGTCGGGTACCGGCACCGCCTTCACCACCAGGTCCACTCCTGTTGTCTGCCGAGGAAAACCAGGGCCCCAGGAGGCACGGTGAATGGGGCAGCTGGAGGATTTGTGTTCTACACTCACTCCCAAGACCTCATCACGCTCCACCCCTGCACACGGTGGCCAAGTGTGGGGTCCCAGTTGAGGGGCAGAGCCAGGTGTTTTAGGATTGCTCCAGGAACCCTGGCCCCATCTTTGGAAGCCTCAAGCTCACCAGGGTGTAGTTCTTCTGAAAGTGGGCTCCATCGCTGCGGAAGATCTGTACCAGGGCGGTCTTGCCCACTGTCGGGTCTCCTGCAAGGTCATGGGAGAAGAGACTGTGACTTCAGTCCTGATGGGACCTGAGACCCTCCCATTATAAAAGAGCAGAAACGGAGTTGGCTCTCACGGGAGTGGCGAGCTGACCATGACGGCAGATGCACGCTTCTGCAAGGCTAATCCTTTTATCCTGGAGGATGGACCCAGAAGGTAACCAGAGCGCACTGGAAACAGAACTGACGTGTTCAGTCTGGAACCCACCTGCCCACCTGTCCATGTGAACGTACTCTCAAGTCTTGAAGGTGAAGGGCTGTGACCAGGCCCAGACAGCTCTACGGTCACTTGAGCAGGTGAGTCAATTTGAGTGTAGAGCTTTCACAAGAATGCATATTTTGGGGGTGGTAGTGGTGAAGTTGGGAGGGTGTCCACTTCTGCCTTTCTGAGGAGCAAGATGTCAGACAGTACGCTTACCACCCTGAAATCCAAGTGATGTATTCCACCCTGTTTGTGACTTGGATGACACACCCTGCTAATCCTCTGGGGACTTCTCTACCCATGTGATCTGCTCACACTCCTCTTAGACCTCCTGGGGGTGTCATCTTAGCTTCTCTTTGCTCCTATGTGGCCCCATGAGTTAGTGTCTCAAAACGTCTCAGTTTGCAGTCTGATATCGGGGTCCTTTACAAGCCTGCTGGAAGCAATTTTATCTGGGGTTTCTTCCATGCCTCCCATCAGACAGCACTGTAACTTCTCTGTAGTCCAATTCCAACTCACGGTGACCCTAGACCACAGTGGAACTTACTCGTAGGGTTTCCGAGGCTGAAAATCTTTATGGGAACACACTGCTCCATCTTTCTCCCGAAGAGCAAGGGACGGGTTTGAACCTCCGACCTTCCCATAACAACCCAACACTTAACCCACTGTGCCACCAGGGCTCTTAGGAAGCTCTATGTTATTCTGACTCTTAGTGACCCTGTATAGGGCTTCCAAGGAGCTGCTGGTGGGTTTGAACTGCCAACCTTGTAGTTCACAAATTTCTGTGCCCTCACCACATTGCTGCCAGTGGTTCAAACTTTGGATGCAACCTTTTCCTCACCTCAATTCATACTCCCTGGCGGCCCCCTGACAGCACCCTCTGTGCCCTCTGCACAATGTCCCAGCATGCTACGTCTCTCTGCCTGGCATTATGGGACAAGCCTTTGCTCCGATTATAGTTGCTCACAACATTTGGCTTTCCTTGCTTTCTCCACAGTCTGCTTTTTTCTCCACAGTCTGCCATTCTGCTTTCTTTGCAGTTTTGACTTTTCCCACCTATAATTTTCTCTTGAAAACAATGATGTGACTTGTGGCATTGCCTGGCATGATAGATAGCTCCTCCAGGTTGGAGTGAGTCCATCAGGCATTGTGTCCTGGAAGGGAGCCTTTCCACACCACCTCCCTCTGGGGAGTGTCACCTCATGGGACAGATGGAGAGAAGCTCTCTCTGCTGGTCCCTGCCTCCCCCTCAGCACAGTGGCCACTCTGCCACCCTGGACCACCACAGCTGGATTTGCACCAGGCACCCAGCCTCTTCAGAGCAAACAGGGCACAGGTTTTCCTTCTTGGAACCACAGCTGCATCCACCCTCTCCATTTTGCTCCTGAATCCAATTGGCATTGGCTTTTCCTGCTTGTGAAGCCCCCCAGATTTTTTCTGGCTCATTTTGTAAGTCTTCCCGCTGTCAATCAGTTCCCAACACGTCCGGTGAACCTGAGCTGACTACATGGAATGGGCAGACACTGGCACTGATGAACATGCCTGCGGAGCCACAAGATTTCAAGCGCTAAGTCTAAGAGCACAAATGGAGAACCTGGACATTGGAGGGAACACTGAGGAGAAGAGCGGGTGAGGGACCAGCCTGGCAGATGTCCCAGAGGTGGGACAGAGGCCTGGGTTGACAGCAGAGAGGGTGGCCTCATCATGGCCAAGTCTGACGTCTCCTCCGTTCTCATCCTCTCTAACTCTGAAGGTTGAGTCAACCCTGAAGCGGCCCCACCTGCCTTACAGCCCTCTGTGTCTGCGGCCTGGGACGCCCTGCGCTGGCCAGGCTCTCCGGCTCCTCTTGCTGCCAAGGACAGCCCTTCAGCCTCCTCTGCCTCCCAAAGGTGAACACTGCTGAGGGCCTGTTGTTGTTGGGTGCTGTAAAGCTGACTCAGCTTCACAGTGGCTCCCCGTGACCCCACACAGAGCGACCCCAGAGGGTTTCCTAAGTGCCATGTTTACAGGGGCAGGTCACTAGGGCTCTTCTCCCGTGGAGCTGCTATGGGGTTTGAACTGCCAACCTTTCCGTTAGCAGCCAATTGCTTAACCACTGTGCCACTAGAGCTCCTTGTTCCCAGTCTATTCCATCCATGGACGGATTACTCAATAAGCAAGGTAAGCATGGGCTGACTTCTGCTTTCTGACTAATCAATAGTGAGCAATGTCACCTGGGTTTTACCACATCTGTAATGTGAAAAAAATAAACAGATAAAACTGTTCACTATGGATTAATAAGTAAGCACAAGCTAGCCCGTGCTTACCTTGTTGACTGGGTCCTCCATCCCTGTCAGGAATTGTGAATTTGAAAAGAGGCTCAGGTTCTGCAGGAAGGTGCGGTGGGGTTGGGAGAGAGAGAGACGTGGAAGCAGAACCTTTGCTGTGGTGGAAAGATAGGAACTTGTTCGTTACAAATTAGTAAATCAACACGATCTGGCAATCCATAAAGATGACAAAAAGCCCTCATGGGACAATTCGACGTGGTCATTTGGGGTTGCTATGGGTGGGAATCAACTGGACAGCACCCAACCAGAGCACCCTTATCGTGTCTCTCCAAGGCACCAGTCCTTCTCAGAGATCTAAGGTCCCTCCTCTCAGCTTCCAGGTCCTCTGGGCCCTCAGTCCAGGGCCAGGCTCCTTCCTGCACTTACTAACTGCACTGCCTTTTGTTACCATTTCTTTAGTCAGCCCTCCCATTACAGCTGTTCAATACCCTGTAATCAATTCCTGGTGTGGTGCTGTGGGTTAATGCACTGGACTGCAAGGTTAGTTTGAGCCACAAGGTCAGCGGTTCAAAGTCACCAACCAGCCACTCTTTGGAAACCCTACACAGGGTCGCTATGAGTCAGAACTGACTCGATAGCACTAACAGCAGAAACAGCAATCAATTCCTGTGGTGTCCTGGTGTGGCGCTGTGGGGTAATGCGCTGGACTGCAAAGTCCGTTAGAACCGCAAAGTTGGCAGTTCAAGCTCACCAGCCGCTCCTCGGAAACACTATATAGGGTCGACTATGAAGGAGCTCTGGTAGCGTAGTGGTTACGAATCGGGCTGCGAACCGCAAGGTCAGCCGTACAAAACCACCAGCTGCTCTGCGGGAGAAAGATGAGGCTTTCTGCTCCCATAAAGATTTATAGCCTTGGAAATCCTGTTCAGGGTCGCTATGAGTCGGAACCGACTCGACGGCACTTAAGAACAACAAATGAGTACAAATGACTCACTAGCACTTAACAACAAATCAATTCCTGTGGAGTCCTGGTGGGGCACTCTAGAATAAACACTAGACTGCTAACAGTTCAAACCCACTAGCCACTTCTGGGAAACCCTGTGCAGTCTTGCTATGAGTTGGAACTGACTTGACAGCATTTAACAACAACAAACAATTAATTTCTGTAATCAGGAAAGGTGTACGTCAGGGTTATGTTATAGTCTTTCACTGTATTTATTCAATCTGTATGCTGAACAAATAATCCGAGAAGCTGTGTTATGTATAATGAAGAAGAACATGGTGTTAGGGTTAGAGGAAAACTCATTAACAACCAGCAATATATATTGATGATGCAACCCGGAACAACATTTCATCTCAGTGCACCTACCCCACATGCTCAGCTGAAAGGGTGAAATGACACATGTCTAGCATGCACTAAGGACTCCGTATATGCCCGCGCTCTGTGGTTTTACGTCTGTAATCCGGGCAGTTGCTTTCCCTCAGTGTGCAGGATGACAAAAGGAGGCACTAAAAGTATGATTAACACACAGTTGTTCAGTCTACAAATACTCATTGAGCACCGACTGTGTTCCAGGGAGCGCTGGCGGCACAGTGGCTAGCTAACCAAAAGGAGGTCAGTGGTTGGAGCCTAGCAGCCACTCCAAGGGAGATGGACGTGGCAGTTTGTTTCCATAAAGATTGTAGCCTCGGAAATCCTCTGGAGTAGTGCTACTGTCTGTCCTTTAGGATTGCTCACTATGAGTTGGAATCGACTCAACATCACTGGGTTATGTTCCGGGCATTGTGCTGGGTGGGTGCTCAGGCTGGATCAGTCACAAAACAGAGATACCTGTCCTTGGGGCCTTCATTCCTGTCCTCCGAGTGGGGAGTACAGTATCTTTAGGTCTAAAGGTGACACATATGAGCCTTTACTAAACTCTGGTCAACTACATTTCTGTCTCTTAACCCTGCTACTGAACCCTGGTGGTACTGTGGGTTAGGCACTAGGCTGCTAACCATAGGGTTGGCAGTTCAAACCCATCACTTGCTCTGCAGAAGATGAGGCTGCCAGCTCCCGTAAATCATGCAGAGCGTTGTAATGAATTGGAGTTGACTTGAGGTCAGTGACTTTGTTTTTCATTTGGGTAACTCTGCTACTAGACTTGGCAGCTCAAACCACCCCTTCCCTGGAGATACCTGGGAAGACAGGCTTGGTGGTCCACTTCAGGAAGGTCATGGCCTTGAAGACCCGATGGAGCAGCTCTACTCTGCACACATGGGGTCATGCTGAGTCAAAACCAGAGACAACAAAGGGCGGGGGATTGGTTAAGGAAAATCCCATAAGTAAAGACTACCAAAGGCATAGGTAGTCAAAGATAGACAAAGTCTACTGGTGGGTACAGTAAGTCCCTGGGTGGTACAAACGGTTAAGGGCTCAGCTACTAACCACAAGGTTGGAAGTTCAAAGCTACTCTGAGGCAATAGGAAGAAAGGTATGGCAATCTGCTTCTGAAAAGTCACATTCCTAAAAAACCCGGAGCACAGCTCTATTTTGCACACATGGGGTCTCCAGGCAAAGGAATCTATTCTGTGTGGGGTAGGAAAAACTAGCATAGTGGTTACAAATTGGGCTGCTAACCTCAAGGTCAGCAGTTCGAAACTACCAGCCGATTCACCGGAGAAAGATGAGGCTTTCTGCTCTCCTAAAGATTTACAGCCTCGGAAACCCTGTATAGGGTCACTATGAGTCAGAACCGACTCCACCCTGCTTAACAACAACAAATGTGGCGCTGCAGGATAATGCACTAGACTGCAAGGTTGGTTTGAATCGCAAGTTTGATGGTTCAAATCCATCAGTCGCTCCTTGGAAACCCTATACAGGGTCTCTATGAGTTGAAATCGACCCGAGGGTGCTTCACAACAACAGTGGTTTGTTTAGTTAGCCTTCTTTCTACGTCTGCTTCTCTTGAGTATGGCCGAGACTAGGAGGCGGCCTCCAGGTATGACCCGGCGCAGGTGATCGACAGGGGAGACACATGTGTGCCGGACAAGGTTTCCTCTCACACCTAAGGGGCTTCATTATCAGGAATGACATTAACTCACATTTAAGAGCAGACAAGCTACGTGAGGAAAAGTTCTCAACAAGATGCAGCCTGTGGTCTCTGGAGACCATTGGATTCCACGCAAGATTTCAGACTCACCTGCTAGGATGCACTTGGCTGCCAGCTTCACCATGGTAACCGCCACCGGATGGATGGGAGAAGCGCGGCTGCTCCCCGGGGTTGCTGGGGCGCCTTCGGGGCAGGGATACGGCTGACTCTTGGGGGCCAATGACCGAGTTGGGGACAGGGACTGATGGGGCCTGACCTCCTGAACTGGGCGAAGGGCGGAGAGTGTGCGCTACAGTCCCGGGGCTAGTATGGGGAAGGGGATGAGACCCTGTTCAAGGCTTCAGAAGGCCGCCTGAAAGGTGCAAGCGAGTCGACGCAGCTCCCGTCCCGGCCCAGGCCCTCAGTCCCAGCCCAGGGAGCGCACACAGGGAAGTCACCAGCCTCCACCCCGGCCAGGTACCGCGTCTACGGCCCTCACCTGGCAACCACAGCCCGCTCGTCCCGCCTCTTCCCCACTCCTTAACCCGTGATTGGCTGCTCACAGAGCCCAGAAACTCTCAAGGAGAGCCAGTGGTAGGAGTAGGGCGGGGCTATATCCCTTTCTTGTGAGACAATTGGTGATAGTAGCTGCTCTTCAAGCTCATTCTTCTTGGCAAAAGATTACCGGAGAAATGTCAATCATTATTCTCTCCCGCCCTCGCCCCACCGGAAAATACCGGGAAAAGAAGCTCTAAAGTCTTCTAGTCAGAAACTGTGATACAGGAAGCATTCTGATTGGCCGGAGGCTGGCCACTACCATCTTCGGGAGAAATGAGATTTGCCGCATCCCCCGGCCCTTCTAGAAGTGGGTTCGCCTACCAGGCCAACCCGGCCTGCGGGACCCTAGAACGGCGCCTGCGCAGTAGATCAGGCCGCAGCCGCTAAAGCTGGACTTCTGAGCTCTTCACTGTTTGGTTGCTTGCTCAGGTCCCAAGATCCAGGGATCGGGGCCCCAGAGTCTCTAAAGAAATCCAGTCTTTACCTCGTACCCCACTGTGAAATCCTCATTTTAAAACCATTTAAGGGTGATGCTAAGTTTTATGGAATCGGTTTCGACTCATAGCCACCCTGTATAGGGTTTCCGAGGAAAATCTGTGACTGGAACTTTAAAATGTAAATTATGCCTGTGAACAAAGGGGCGGACTAAACCAACTTTGATGAGGACGCACGATTGGATTGGACTCAGATTTGAAGCCATACTCTCCTCCGAGCCCATTTCCTGTATGGTAAAATAGAGGTGGGGTGCATACCAAGTGCTGTAGGAAAGCACAGGTAAGGTCAAGGACATCTCTGGTCCTTAACTTCCCTGAGGGACCCTCGTCCTGGGGCCATCCCTTCACCCTTGAGGCTGTTTCTTCATCTTTAAAGATGGACCTAACACCTTTTAGGTTCGGAGACACAAAAAAATGAAAGAATCAAAATGTCTGTGGTAGAGTACCTGTTAGGTGTGTCTTGTCGCTTCTGACTCATAGCAACCCTATGCACAACAGAACCAAATACTGCCAGGTCCTGCGTCATCCTCACAATTGTTATGTTAGAGCACATTGTTACTGCCCCCATGCCAATCCACCTCATTGGGAGTCTTCTTCTTTTCTTGCTGACCTAGAATATTGAAAGTGCCCTGGGCTGCCAAAAGAACCAATAAACCAGTTTTGTAAGATGTGCAGCCACTGTGCTCCTTGGAGACCAGGATGGCCAAACTCCGTCTCTCATATTTTGGACATAGTGTCGGGAGGGACCAATCTCTGGAGAAGGATATTATGTTTGGTGAGGTGGAGGGTCAAAGAAAAAGAGGAAGACCCCCAGCGAGATGGATTGGCCAAGTGGCAGCATCAATGGGCTCAAGCGTGGCAACAGTAGTGAGCTTGGCCCAGGATTAGGCAGTGTTTTGTTCTGCTGTGCATAAGGTCGCTATGGGTTGGTACCGACTCGATGGCACCTAACAACAACAACAACACTTTACCAAGCATGATGCCCTTTTCCAGGGACTGGTCCCTCCTGGTGACATGTCCAAAGTCTAAAGACTTTATCTAGTTCTTCTGGCTTCTAAAGAGCGTCTGGCTGTACTTCGTCCAAGACACATAGATTTCTTTGTTCTTCCTGTAGTCCATTCTTCAGCAACACTGCAACTGAGATGCATCAGTTCTACTCAAATTCCCATTTTTCACAATGTTATCCAGAGTTTGTTAAGATCCACACAGCCCAGGCCTTTGCATAGTCAATAAAACATCATGAATCAAATGCATGTCCTCTTCTGAATTGGGCTTAAATTTCTGGCAGCACCCCAAAAGCAGATACAGTTTCCAGGTGGATTGCTTTTTAACATTAAAAAAATTCAACCTCCTCCATACACAGAGTAGACAGGGATAGGCAACTTGGACATTGACTACCCAAAATGGGGGGCTACAAAGGCAAGAAGTGACTGGCTTACAAGCTTTCAAGAGGGAACCCAGATTCAGAGGGCCTGGAGGAAGGTAGAATCTCCACTGAATAGTATACAATCTGTCTAGGTGGGGCTGATGAAATGAAATGCGCATTAATCTCTTGTGATTTAATAGTGAATAATTGTTATCAGGACTGCTTTTGAGGGTTGGAAATGTAAAGGTAGATGTTTTGTAGCAAGGAGGGGAGCAATTAACTTTTCAGCCTAGGAGTGGAGGTCCCTGGGACCATCAAGGGAGAAGAGCAGAGAGCAGGACCCTACCCAGAGAAGCAGTGATGCCTGAGATGGAGGCAGAGACGATGATGTGGAGAAATGGAGCAGTTGGGGACTTTAGACACAGAGAGGGAGAGGGCCTGTGTGCTGACGACCCAGGGCAGGCTTGTAGTGTATACCCTTTAGTTGGTTGATGATGCATGGAGGGGATTGTAACCATAACAATGAAATGATACAAGATAGGTTGAATGTAAAACTAATGTTCTCCCATGTAAACTGTCACATATTTCACAATAAAACATTTTTTAAAATTCAAAGTATCCCCTTATGGACTTGTTTAAATTTTCTTCAGCTTCAGCTTGAACTTGCATATAAGCAATTGGTGGCTTTGTTTTGACAGATGATATTGAGCTCCATCATCTCTTCCCACAGATAAAATCAATTTGATTCCTGTGCATTCCATCTGGCAAGGTCCATACGTGTAGTTGCCGTTTATCTTGTTGAAAAGGGTATTTGCAATGAATACATCATTGGTTTTACAAAATTCCATCCTGCAGATGTCCAGCGTCATTTCTATCACCAAGGCCATATTTCCCAACTACTTATCCCTCCTGTTTATTTTCAACTTCCACATTCTAATCACCAGTAATTACCAACACAGCTTGATTGCATGTTTCATCAATTTCATACTGAAGAAGTTGGTAGCATTCTTCAGTTTATTCATTATTGGCTTTGGGATTTGTGCACAAATTTGAATAATATTTGTGTATTAATTGGTCTTCCTTATTGTAGTGAAGTGCTGTTGAGTTGGTTCTGACTCATAGAGAACCTGTATGGAGCTTTTAAAGGAATGGCTTGTGGGTTCGAACCACCGTTCTTTCAATTAGCAGTTCACTGCTTATCAGACAGCACCACACCAGGACTCTGGTCTTTCTTGTAGGCATATAGATAGTCTCCTATTACAGATAACATTGCATTTCAAGATAGATATTGAAATGTTCTTTTTGACAATGAATGTGACATCATTCCTCTTGAATTTGTCATTCCTGACAGAGATTGTTTCAAAATGGCCAATAATGTCCATTTCAGTTCTTCCTGACAGAGATTGTTTCAAAATGGCCAATACGTGTCCATTTCAGTTCACTAATGCTTAGGATATCAATCTTTATGGGTTCCATTTCTATTCTGACAATTTATAATTTGCCTAGATTCATACTATGTAATGCCATGTTCTGATTATTAATGGCTGTTTGCAGGCGTTGCTTCTCACTTTAAGAAATAAAGCTAGTCTGTTCATCCGAAAGCTCCACTGAAACTTGTCCTGTGGGTGAGCACGTTGGTATTTGTAACACCAGTGGCCTGGCCTCCAGCATCACAGAAATGCCCAAGTCACCACAGTGGAACAAACTGACAGACGTGTGGGATGGGGTAGAGTGTTGTTGTTAAGTGCCGTTGAGTCGGTTCCAACCCATAGCAACCCTGTAGGGGGTTCCAAAGCTGTAAATCTTTTTTTTTTTGGTTTGAGCATTTTATCACAGGAATGCATAGACTGTGCTGACGTGTGAAGTGGACTGAGGTATTCCATCACGTTGACAGATCAAAGCAGAAAAGCCACATGGCCACCACATTTTGTCCTTGTGCCTTTTGGTCCATCTACAGAATGAGCGGGGCTGCATGGGACAGCCCTAGGGAAATGGTCTGTCTGGCACAGTTGGTCACAGTGTCACAATCTGGAACCTACTCCTACCAGGCACTGTCCGGTAACCAGTCACATGGCCTGGGCACTGGGGAAAAGGTCTTCTACAACACTTAACTGATTCCGGGAGATCCACTCATACAGGGTGGGTCCCAACAGTAAGCGGGGAGAACAGGGGTGGAATCCAGATTCAGCATTTGTTTGTTCCAATATTCTTTGCCAACGCCATAATTCAAAGGCATCAATTTTTCTTTGGTCTTCTGTATTCTTTGTCCGGTTTTCATATTACATATGCTCTGCCAAAAAAATTAAAATACACGATTCTAGAAAAATACAAAATACTAAGTGTGATGCAAGGAAGGATATGTTCAAAGGGAAGTAGTAAGCAGAATATAAAGACCCTCCCCCTCCATCTTAGCAGCATCCTACAGACACTAAATGGCTTATAAGAGAAATAGATTGAAAGGGTTTGTTGGGGTTGTTTTAAGTGGGGAAGACATGAATAGGTAGCTCACAGAATCATTGAAAGAGCTGGAGAAAAACTTAGGGCCAAGTTGACAGTGCCAAAAATAGGCTCACACTGACACACATGATAAAATGGGGAACATCCAAAGGAGTAACTACAGGAAAATTTATAACCATCAAGTACATTATAAAACAAGACTGAAATTAAGCATACAACTAAAGCAGCTAGAAATGAACAAATCAACTCAAAGAAACAGAAGGCAATGATCAGTAA